CCCTTTCACAGACATTCACTCAGTGATGGCAAAGCCCATCAAACGGATACTAACTCATTCATACACATTCACACACTGATGCACAGCATCAGGAGCAATTCAGGGTTCAGTATCTTGCTCAAGGATATTTCGACATGAGCCACAGCCACCCCATTGTTTTGGCCCACCAGAAGTTTCTAAAAATGTTTTTAATTAATTAAAAAAATTAATATAATAATAAAAAATAAATATACATGTATATGTATGTTTATGCTATCCCTAATTATTCATTATTTTTCATTATCTCACAGGCAGGCACTTGCAGGCGCAAGAAGTTGGTAAATTTAGGGAACAATTTTGAATCTTAACAATACAATACGTGTTTGCACACCAGGACAGAAGAATTGTTGATGATTGTTTGTCTGTTATTTACACAAGAAAATTGTTCAAACCACAAATATTTGAAATTTGTTTTGTTTGCAAGCTAAATTTACAATAATAAAAAAAAAAATGTAATTTGCCTTTTAAACCTGTGTTTTAACATGTATGTTAAGTATTAACAGTGGAAAGAAAAAATGGCTTAATTATATTATGGAGCACTTTTAAAGCGCTACATAAACTGATTTACATGAAAATGCATAATCCACTTTTAAAAATGAAAAACCTGTGTATCAGTATTGGCAAATTATTATTACTAATATTTGATCGAAACCAAAATTTGTGGTACTAATGAAGACTGCAGACTCTACATCCACTGATAAGACTATACCCTCACTAAGCACTATAAAAATATTGTTGAAAAACTTTATAAGAATGTTGGATCTGCAAATTATTGGATGTACAATTAGAGCTGCATGTTATGGTTGAAATCAATATCAGAATCAGAATCAGAATCGGGTGTATTGCCAAATAAGTTTTTACACGTGCAAGGAATTTGCCTTGGTGCATAAAAATCACACAAAAAATAAAGTACTTTTTAGAATATAAATAACTAAAGATAAAGATAAAGATAGAAAGATCTAAACTGTACAGGGATGATATTTACAATGTGAGTGCTTTAATGTAATGCATATATACAGGGCGGGTTTAAGAGTCAGTGTCACAATACTAATACAATTTTTTTTTCTTCCTCTAAACATGGCAGAACAAAAGCACTGGTCTGAACTTAGTAACCAGTTGTGTTACCAATATTTGCTCATGAGAAAATTGCCTGAAATCTGGTAATAACTCTGTGAACAAATAACACATGTAATGTCTTCAGTCAACAATGTGCAATAATTACAAATGTGTATGTGTGTTTTCTTACATGCTTGTCGTAGCTTATCCTTGTCATAGTGCAGAGCCTCATAGTCTGTCATGCTGATCCTGCTGACCCTGATCCTCAGCCTCTCTGGAACTGGCTGCTGACTGAGACACAAACAGGACCAGACCACTTTTAAAAAATGCATATACATATATACACATATATATATATATAATATGGCATGCCCTTTAAGAAATTATTGAATGAATTTATGGAATGAAAGTCTGAATATATTGAATGAAACTTAAATATATGGAATGAAACTTTGAATATATGGAATGAAAGTCTGAATTAATTGAATGAAACTTGAATATATGGAATGAAACTTTGAATATGAGGAATGAAACTTGAATATATGGAATGAAACTTTGAATATATTGAATGAAAGTCTGAATATATGGAATGAAATGTCACGTGATCGAGGCACTATGCCATTTTGTGTTTTTGATACCGGACTTAGCCTGGGGCTAAGTGAGCATGCACGGAATATATCAGAAGCAGTCCTACCTAATGAAGAGATAATTAAGATCCTGGCGAATGCGGGCCACTATTCACTCTGTTAATGTACTGTAGCTGTATGTTCAAACACAATGCATAGCATAGCAGCAAAAGGTTTAATGTGGTTAAAGCAGGAAAGTCAGTAAATCAATCACTGATCTATGAATGAATGTGGGTGATTCTCACAGTATCTGCTGTCCACAACAGCTTCATATAGTATAAAAAGCTTCTCCAGTTCATGAAGTCCCTACAGTATCTGAAGGCATGGACGGATGTTAAGTTGTTTTAAGTGTATTATATCGACCACTTTTTGTTTTGTTTTTCCACAATGATGCCTCTTGTACATCGTCTTATTATCTTCTGGGAGAAGCCTGTGTCATTTCCAATCAAGAAAAAACTTGCTGGTTAAATAGTCAAAGTCAAAATTTGCCAGATAATTATTTAAATAATTTCGGGCATGACTGTATAGACTTCACTTTATTGATCCCTTTGGGATGACTCCCTCAAGGAAATTGAATTGAAGTATATACACATATACACACACATATATACACATATACATATATACACATATACATATACATACATACATACATACATACATACATACATATATACATATGTATACATAAACATAAACATAAACATATACATATACATATACATATACATATACATATACATACATATATCAAAAGTATAATCCTGTGTGTGTGAGTACAACATGGTATTTCAGTGCAGGACTCATTCCACCTAGATGCACCACAGAGCAGCACGGGAAGTCATTCCTGCCTGTGGCCATCAAACTCTTTATCTCCTCCCTCAGAGTGTCAAAACTCAGAGTCATTAGTCATTAAACTGGTACTGTCAATGTGCAATAAGTCGATTAAGGTGCAAATCCCGGGTCAACTTGCAATCAACTTGATTATTATGTCATTCTTTGAAATTATCTATAGCTTCTGCAACACCACAACCTTAAAACTCATTACTATTTATTTAATTTCTGCCAGCAATACTGTGGAATATGTTTACACTTATGTTTAGATTTACATTTACTTTGTATATAGGCTCTTATCTTATTATATCTCTCAGGCTCTTTATTTTTTACTATATGTATATACCTAAACATTCATTTCTATTCTGTACACTGTGTTAAATATTGTATATAAATACTATTCTTTAACATTGTGTGAGTGGAACAACTGTATTAATATAATAATAAAGTAAGTATTTCTGATTCTGATTATAGATTGATTTATATTTTAAGTTCTACATTCATTTTACATTACTATTATTTTCTTTTCAGCTTTGATTTTTCATACTTCCTGTACCATTTGTCTTGTAATTGTTACTTTTGTTACTATTTGGTCATTATTAGTGCTGAAACTGCTTGTCGATTTGTTGACCATTATAAAATAAATCATCAACTTTAATGACAAACTGGGAAACATATGGTGGTTCTTGATGCACAAATTTAACAATGTGCTGCTTCGTTGTCTTTTATATCATTCTAAACTAATCTCTAAAAAATCTTTGTTTTCATTAGTGTTTGGATGAAACTCGGAGTTTCCATAAACGCGACGACTTTGGAAATCCTTTGGAGGCACTGAGCCAGCGACTGTATACTGTAACTATACTGTAATATTGTCCACAAAACACAAAAATGTAATTAAACAGAACTGTATTGCAAATTATTTATAATTGCAAAATGTTGTGTAACAAACTGTTTTGATAAATACAAGCATTTGACAAAGCCTTATCTAAAAAAGTTGACCTTCCATCACAGCCACAAAACACAAATAGATATGATCATATTTTCATTAGAAAAAAAAAAAACATTAAAAAACAACTCCTAGCCCATGATATTTATACATTTGCATATTTCAAAATAACATCATTAAATTTCTGTATTTAAAATAACAAGGATAACTTAAAAAAAATGACAGTTTCCCACCTAGTTTCAGTCTTTTCCCTCACTTGAGCTGCTATGTACATATAAACTTGCGGTGCTGCACAAATGCCACTTTCACTCTAGGTGGAGTATCTTATAATATTAAAGCAAAACGAAAAGGAAAATAAGTGCCAAAAGCAGGGCAGCATACCCGAATTGTTCCTCGGATAACTTAGTGTCGTCCTATAAAAACTGAGACAGTAAATCAATGTCATATTTTAGTAAATCATTCTGAAAAAGCAGCAAAAAAATAAATCATTTGTAAGCAGTTTAAATCTACAGGAGAAAACTGGCGAGTTCCTCATGAAAGAGAAATCAATGTCACAAAAAGAAGCTACTTAAACGTTTTATTTCTGCATTCAGCCTTTGTATTCGAGAGCTGTGAGTCTTATTGTGGGAAAAGGCAAAAGGAGCATCTACTGAATGAAAATGAGCAAATTAATGAATGCAATCTTCTGTTCTCAGCCACACATTCAGCCCATTTCTCTCTCTTTCTTTCACACGCTAACAAACCTGTACAAAAAAACATCTCTAATATAATAATAATAATAAATTCAGACGTCACTCATGTTTGTCTCAATGCCTCAGTTCAGTAACGACTGTGCTGCAGTATGACCCAACCTGAGCACAACTGATCAGGTAGCGCAGTGAACACTTAATTCAACTTTATTCTCCTCTGTTTCTCCGTTAAACTTCTACAGTTTATTTTTTCCTCAGACCGAATGCGAGAACCCCTTTACATCTGCTATTATCATGAAATCTGTATCTGGATAATGGATAATGACATTTCATGAAAGGCCTTTGCATCTACACCTCTTTATTAATAAGGGCTCTTGTTATCTCAATTCTGCCTGCATTATGATCAGATCTCAGCATGCACGTCGCAGGTGAAGGGAAGCAATGCCGCTGTAGGAGCTCGACTCACTTTTCCTCTACAGAGTGAGACGATCTGCAGCTTTTTGACCAACATCTTAAGACGGCAAGAAGAGACAATACTGGGGTTTAACCAACCCAACAAACAAGAACTACAATGTCCTTCGTCGCATGTTGTCCCCCACATCTCTCCCCTTATTTCCTCTCTACTATCGACTCTGGAATAAAAGCATAAATTGCCCCCAAAAGGTACAGGATGGATGGCGTTTGCTCCTGGCTGAGATCTGATCACAATGTTCTGCATGTATTTACACCCAGTGTCAACATGAGCTGTTCTAGAGCTGCGCCCAATATCATTTTTTGGCCCTCAAAGCTTGAGTGAGGACGACGGGGAGAAACAACTCCGGTCCGGTGTTTATATGAGGGGGAGAAATGTGCGCTCTGAAGAAGTTCATGAGACAGGGATGCAAAGCAAGCGTTTCTCTAGTGTTTACTCACAAACTACTTTAATCTGCTCATCCTGTCAGTTCTCTTTTCTCACAAAGACACACACACACACACACCTCTGTCTCTACCCCGTCTGCACACACCACACCCACCCCCGCCTCCCCCCCGCCCCTTTATTGTTTCTCTCTCTCCCTGTTGATTTGGATGTCAATTACCATAGCAACAGTCAAAGCTTTGAAGGATGTGAATCAGCCCTGCGTTGTTCTTTATCCAGATACGACTTGCATGTTAACACCAGGTGTAAATCAAATATATTCACTCATTTAATGTGAGAATCAGCATTTTGTAATTTGGCACAGATCGCAGATCGATGTAGATCGCCTTCATTGTTTCTAACTAGCAAAGAACTGCTGTGAGTGCATGAAAACACAGAGACAACAGCTTCCAGTCCTCAAACAGAAACTCTAATATAACCACCATCAGTCCTGCCAGCTAAAGTGAGATTCTCTATCAAAGGAACCAGTCCAGTAGTGGGGAGAAGGTGAGGTCATAGTGCAGTCAGTCTGTGTTGTCAGTGCTACGATGACGCATCATTTGCCCTGTGCCAGTTTTACACTCTGCCTTTCTCTCATACACTTACAAACACACACACGACACACATTTCACACACACTCACACACACACACACACAGAGATCCTGCTAAGAGTCTTTGAGCATGTTGATGCGTGCGAAGATCTTGAGTGCGGGTCCCAGTTTAATGTTCATGGTGCTCATGAGATGGTCCTCCTTTAACAGAAGCAAGGCCTGCCCATCGATCTCCTGAGAGCGAAACTCGTCTGCTATCTCCTGACAACCTGCGCGAACAGCAGAGGGAGAGGAACGAGCTGCAGTTAGTCACGCTAAAAACAGGATTCATAAGCGTCATAAGAGTCAGTGTGAAATGCTTTATGTGCGCGTTTACTCAACTGACCTGGCAGTGAACGGATGAACTCGTAAACTTCCTCCACATTCCAGTTGGTGGGGTCGTTGGGTAAGAAGCGCTGACAGTGCGAAGGCGCGTCTCTCTCAGCGCAGCTCTCCTGGACCGAGGCCCTGCTCGGATACCGGTGGACGGGGACCTGAGCTGGGGCTGGAGCGGGGGCCAGGGGTCCCGAGCTGGCGGCTGACAGGGGAGACGGCGGCTCCTCGTAGCTGGACATGTCCGAACACGGGCTAGACTCCTCCTGACTGGGCTGCGAGGGATGCGGTGAGGATACAGAGCCGCCCTGAGTCTGCTGCAGGGAGGGGGCCAGCTTCTGAAAAGGGAAATTGTCAGACTTGATGTTAAGGCTCGGCATTTGAGAAATGAATGGTTCATCAGTAAAAACACTGCTGGGATGTCGTACCAGATACAGCAATGATTCAAAGGGGTAATAAGTAAGATTTATACTGTGCAATTGCTTCAAATGAGTAGAATTTACCTGCAAGGAGTTGATAGGGTTATTGGATCAATACCAATGCCTCGAAAATTACTTTGTCAGGTGCTGAACCCTCTGGATTATAAAACTTAATTCATAGTCCAAACATGAAACTAAAGCACCCCCCACTGGAGGTTCAGGACCCAACCCACAAGGCATTACATAACTCAAAACATTTTGGCTATAAAACCTAAAAAGACCGTTCTTGAGCCAAAAATACAAAACTTTTTCAATATTAATTATTGTGATATACAGTATTACCTGTATATTTCTGTAGAATTTCAGCTTTTATTATCAAAACTACTTACGTCTACAGTAAAAACTTGACTATATCCTGTCACTACAGGTTTCGGATCAGTCTCAGTTTCAGATTAATTTGCAAATCCAGTTGTTTTTGACAGCTATATAACTTGTGCAGGAGGCAGAAAATCTCTACTAATGCTTCTCTATTACTACTGGTCACCAATAAACGTTGACAGAGACCATAGAGCACTTAATGACCCTTTAAAGACAGAAGGAGATAATCAGGCACTGACACAAATGATGCCTAAGTTCATTAAAAAGCATGAGGCGTGAAAAGTGCAGGGCATAAAATGCAGTGGAAGCAGTATGTGATGGGCGGTAAAGTGTTGATGAGGAAGTTTTACAACACTGAAGGTGTGTGTGTGTGTGTGTGTGTGTGTGTGTGTGTGTGTTTCTGTACCTGCTTCTTTGCCTCTATACTGGGGCGGCCCTGAGATCTTCTACGCCAGCGGTTTGTTGGTTTACTCCTCTCTGGTCGGAAAAGGCCTATCCGCTTCGTACAGCCCACATTGTACCTGTCCAGAGAGATGCATTATTAGAGCCTTTCCTTTTGCACATAACATAACTTGTTTAAATGAAAATAACATAAAACTAAAAAGGTGACTTGCCTCTTTGCACAAACCATTGAGCAGAATCTTTTAGAGCCTTTGAACGTGTAGGCAAAGTCGACCCAGCCACAGTATTCACAGGTCAGCTTGGGTTCTTGCTCTTTTTCTGTAGGAGGGGAAACAGCATATACACATACAGACACTGATGTTAAAAAACTCATTTAATAATCAGCATATTCAATACACTTGGATACATTTTCAATTAAACCTGTAAAATTGAGTTGATTTTTCACACAATATTGCCACTGATTCACATGAAGTTGAAGTTTTCTGTTCCACTTTGTTTATTTACCGCGGTTAGCTAATGTGCATAAAGCTACTGCTGATACCTCGCCACTTCCTGCATGCGTTTCATTAAAGTGTGAAGGTAGAAATAGGCCTTTACTGAGAAACCAAACGTGTTACTAATGACGTGTGCAGTCACTCTACACAATGTTCTAGGAAACAAGGACTTGTGTTGTAAAAACTTTTAGCAACTAGAATGTAAAAAAACTGTGTAACAGGTTTGGTTTTGGTCTGGGGAAAAAAGACAAAGCCACAGAAAGGTTAAGTGGTTTGGTGAAGAGATGCAGAAGCATGTAATTTTGCTGAGGGCAACCTATCCTGTGTGGACATGCAGACGAGAGCAAGTGCAGCACTGGCCCTCGCCATCGTTTATCACAGCAGCTCAGAGCTGTTTGTCAGGTCTGTATCTATCACCATTAACCCTACTGTGTACCTGCGCGCGTTCTGAACGTGATGCTGTGTCCGTTTCATGGCCCTTATAAACAGCGTGAATAAAAATTTAACAAGCCTCAGAGAGAAGTCGGAGCGGTGCATCCCGAGTTTAATGAGCAGCAGCACAGTGCGACACGCACACTGATGTACACAACCGACTGTACTTGTCTAACACTTTTTGTCTCACCTGGCGGGTTCATGTCCTCAGGCTCTGAGTCGGTGTTTGCTGCGTTGCTGACCGGGGTTTTGTCGGGGTCTGAAGAGAGCTGATGGTCCAGCTTCTTCGGGCTGTCGATAAGAATGGGCAGACGCTCCACCTGGGGACAGATAGAAAATGTTTACAAATCTAAGTAAATGAAACCGCACATGCTCCAGGAATAAAGCAATAGTTGTGATTACGACAATATTAAATGCAAAGACTACTTAGAACATTTATATCCTGACGACTTGTGATAATTTCTGTAGTATTTATTAGATGGGATGAAATAAAATGAGGTGAGTGCAGACACTTTCACTGTTTAACTCTTGGTTTGCATGATATTTTGATGATCACTGAAGGAATTTAGTCTTTTCCAACTTAAGTCTAGTCTTCAAGTTTCATTTTTGAGCTACTGCTGGAGACATTGTTGGTAAAATAAGGGCTGTGGATTCACTAATGCTGATACTGGTTAAATGTTCAATTAGTCAATCAGCAGAAAATTCACTCTCAGATGTGAAGACTTCCAGCTATTCTCCATTTTCAGAGAATTAAATATCTTCAAAAAATAGTAATTTAAAGTCGTCACCTTGGGCTCTATGAACTTATAACACATTTGTAATTTTTGATATTTCACAGGATAAACACGTAATCCATTAATAGAAAAAATAAACACAAACATTCAATAATAAAAATATGAATTAAGTACAGCCCTATTCAAGAAATAAAAATAAAAATAAACCATATAAGTGCTGTGTATTATTATTAATTTCTTGTGCTTGTTCATCCATATATGCATGTAAATATACTGGGCATTTACACCAACTTTCCAGTAGGAGGCAGTGAGCCCCAACCATATAAATTACAACAAGCACATCATGTTGCACCTTAACCAAAGTTTTTAGTGATTAATGTCAGAGTCAGGCATACATATACACCAGACAAACAATATAAAGATATAAGAACATTAATTTAACAGACGACAGATTAAAGGAGGGATGGAGATGTGCAGCTCATTACACATCTTCTTCCGCTTGTCTTCTTTCAGCTACAGAGTCTGACCCGACTATAATTAAAGACTGAATCAAACAGAAGCTGTGAGCTGTCACTACTAGTAGTAACAGAGGGTTTGTGTTTGCCTGCTGACAGCTCCCTGCAGGCGAGTACACAGGAGAGTGTGCTGGCTCCGGGTTGTTTATCACGTCTCGCTGCTAGTGGAGCTCAGATCGGGCACTTACACACACGGGGAACGGCTCGGCCCCCTCCTGAATGACAAAGCCTTCGATGACATGTGTGAGGACCTGGGGCTTGACGATGGCCTGGGGCGGTTTGTTCTCTCCGTTCTGCGGCGTGCTGCCCGTCACGGTGGGCGCCTCGCTCTCATTTCCTGAGGTCATGGCTGGAGGTGGGGTCCCAGGTGCAGCGCTCGGCCTCTTGGTTGAGCCCCCTCCTGACCGAGAAATGAATATATGAGAGCCGGTCACTAGTGGGTTGAGTCTGAATTATATTAGAGCTGAGAAACAGAGTAGCAGATCAATCATTTCTGTCGTTTTTCCGGCAAAAATGCCAAATATTCTCCCTACAGCATCTTCAATGTGAGGATTTGATGCTTTTGCTTCTCATTTGTGATTGTGAACTGAATATTTGGGGGGATTTGGACTGTGGTTCAGACTAAACAAGCATTCTATAAATGTCAATTTGGTCTCTGGATAATGTCACTGGGCATTTGTCACCGCTTTGTGACATTTTATAAGCAAAAGAATGAATCAAGAAAATAATCAGCAGTCCTTAATCAAAAATTCCAAACATTTTCTGAACCACTCTTCTCAAATCTGAATATTTGGCACTTTTCCTTGTTATATGTCAAAGTAAACAGAATATTTGGAGGTTTTAGGCTGATTAAAGCCATCATCTTGGACTTAAACAATTTGTAATTGGCATTTTTCTGTATTCAATCACAGATTATAACACTTATACATCAAATACTTAACTATGCATTAAGAATTTATATTATTCAAACCACACACATAATCATCACATTACATCCATCTACATGCAATACAGTATCCACTCTCATCCACCTGCCTGCCGCTCATTTAAATAACTTTTCTGATGTCCTCAGTCTAATAATAGCAGAACAATTGACCTACTGGCACACTGTCGATCAATAACAAACAGTAAATCCATCATGTATCGCTCCGGTCATCACAACGACGCCTCGCCTTTTAACTAAACCCCGCAGAAGCGAAAGTAAACATCAATGCTTTGTCATCTTAAAAAGCAGCCAGCACTGAATGCGCACAAGTTTCCTTACCGCGCCAACTTCCGCTGCGTTCAGAGAGAAAACATGTGCGGTTTTTGTTTGTTTGTTGTTGTACCGATCCGACAGGGACACACACGCCGACCTGCCGCTGTCGTTAGAGACTGAGAGTCGCTGCAGCGCCGCTTCAGACCCGCAAAAGAAAACGCTTTTAATCCAGGATCCGCCTCCCTGTTTCCTCCCACAGCGCGACCACGGCTGCTGCTGCTGCTGCTGCTGCATGGCTGTGTTTCAACCGTGGGCTACCAGAATGTCTCCAGCTTCAGCCTAACATTGAATACGCCTATAAATAAGATAATGAAACTACAATCTACTAAGAAGATGAATAAACGTGAGCGCATGTTTCCAGCAGGGCCACAGAAAGACATTTCAGGGCCCGAGTCCAAGTCCCCCATCTGTGCACCCTCTGAGGAAACTTTGACCAGACATGACAAAGCTCTCTAAATGTAGAATTCCTATAAAAGTGTGTAATTAAGTGTTTATATCATTTATGCATATTCTATTTGATTGATTTATGTTACATTATACGTTTTGTACATTTTAATCTCACATATGGAGCTGCCTCCACACTGCCTGCAGCACATTGTGGTGGAGCCAAGACAGCGTTCAGACTGAAAACAGCATTGTGACCAAAATAAAATAGATGCTGAATTGGTGGGGGCGTGTTGTGGCGCTTGTGGAGGCGGTGAGAGGATGAGAGAGGATCCAGGAAGTCCAGTGTGAGCAACAGATCCATGAGTTTAAAGCATGGATGTCGTGAGAAAGCTGGTGCTGCTACTCACCATGTGGGCAACGGGACAAATTACTGGAACCCAAAGAGCACCCCCCCCCATAAACCACCATTATAACGGTCTGTAAAACCCTTGACAGGATACCTCAAACTGTCAATTATTATTCCTTATTGTATTATGAATTTTTAAACCATGGAGGTTTCGTACATGCAAAAGTGTTCCCAGAACCGAGGGGAACCCAACGTTCGGGTTGAGTGGGAACACATGAGGTGTTGATGCTATTATGAGTCTTACAACCCTCAGATGTTATTTTATATTTTGTTGTGACCATCGTGAGGTAAACTGTAGAAAGAGCGTTCATATTAATAAGCAGGGCTGTGTTTTTTCTCTCTCACAGTGTCACCGTTTGTCTGAAATAATAATAAACCTAAAATAAAAACTGAAAAGGACCCAGAAAAAATACAAAGCATATGACCTCAGAGCTCTGGTGTGTAGTGTTGGGCTGCAGTTTATATACTCTGTAATGTGTGTGCTATTAATCAGTGTGTTATTAATGTAACGCCTGCTACTCTACACTTTAAATACTTCAAAGAGAAGTGACAGACTGTTAGCAGAGAGCGACGCTGAAGAACCGGTAACCTTGTATACTCAATGAGCCACACTGACTGAGAAACTGATTCTCTGGAGGCTCTTTTCCTAAATGTTACATTTTCCTAAAAGTAAAAAAAGAAGCCGAAACCCATCTTCATCAGCGCCTGCAGGCAGTGGATTACAGAAATAGTTTCCTGGTCTGGTGGTGAGCAGTGCACCTCCACGGCACATCACACCCAACTCACTGCACATAAACAGCAATTTGTGGTCCACAGAATGTTTCATTTTACAAAAAAACACAGCATTAGCACTATTTCCAACCATTTAAGAAAAAAACATCACCATAGAAACTGATCCATGTCCACGTTTTCTAAAATACACCCCAATACATCTGTGCTCAGCAAGACGAGTGCAGCTTCTGTACGATCGAGCACTTACACTACCTCAGAGCTACTGGCCGTGAGTGAAATCAATCCGATCCCGCTTCATCCCTTTTATCTAAATCACCTGGCTGACAAACTGTGCACAACAAGCAGAAAATGCAGCAAAATGAAAATACGATTTTACTGATGATTCAACAAACCTGGGATTTTCTTGATACATGCAGCTAAAAGCTTTTTAATTGGATTGTAACGTAAGAAAAAAAACACTTTACGGTCTCCCCACATTTTCAACAGTTTGTCCAAAGTTTAGAAACTTTGCTTCTTCCGAGCTACAGTCATAATAGTTTATTACGCAAGTATTCGTCAGACGTTGTCTCATGCAGTGGTTCTCAACATGGGGTCCGGGTCCTTAACAGGGTCTCCATAAAAATGGGTAATTTAATTTCACTTCATTGACTAGAAGTTAGCCCAAATGTATAAGAATGACTATTCTGATCAAAGGTTTCACACTCTTCACTGGGAATTCACACAAATCCCTGAGATGGAATCTTATCAATTATGAGTCTGAGGCCTGATCTGTATCAATTAGGGGTCCTTGACACCAAGAAGTTTGAGAACCACTGGTATAATGGACAGAAGTTGTTCAGTAAGTGAGAAACATAGTTCCCATCCCCACAAGCAACATGTACATCAACAGGCATGTTTTTTAAAGTGTCATTGAAGAAATTTGCCAACTCAGTCTTACATCAACTTACCATTTAATTACCTGCTCCCCTGTACAATCTAACACTATCAACAGGAAACAGTGTGCCTAAATGTCTCCGATATAATTTACAGGCAACAAAGTAATAACGATTAATGTCCATTATGAGTCTGGTTATGTGACTGTATTCATTCAATAGTTCCTCTGTTAGATAAAATGGGGTTTTCACTGACCTACAGGGCTTTTCTGTTGTGGGTTTAAATGTTTGTGCACTACACAGCACTAAGTGGATTGTGGGTATCAGGTGAGCTTTTTGGCTCCAGCACAAGGCCATCACAGAAACAACAGCAAAGCAATAAGACACAAAGAATAGTGAAACTAAATGTGCTGCAGACACAACATGGTCTGAATTACAAGTAAACATCAGCATTGATTTTCTTTTCCTCCGCTGAAGACTGAAAGAGTTGGTGAATTCAAAGAGTGCAGAGCAGATCACAATGGTACATTTTCTGCATCAAGGTGACAAGTTGCAATTATTTTTTTTCAAACTGGCCCAGTGGCTAATCGGTTACAGAGTTTATTTACCAAAACGTACTCTTTAGAGAGTAATTTAGCAACTTAGAAAATGATGCCGAGTCATTACCTTGTGGCTGAACAGCTGGTGTGGATGGGCTGACCTTGGGCTGCTCTATGGGCTTTGAGGGTTGCAAAGGCGCAGGCGCAGGTTGTTGCTGTTGCTGTTGTTGTTGTTGTTGTTGTTGTTGTTGCGGCTGCTGTTGATGTGTGCTGGGGGTTGGACACGTCTCTCTGACCACCAGTGATGTTGGCTTATCTTTGCAGTCCTGAAGCAGTCGAGAGGCCTAAGATGTGCATTGGGAACAAAAAGGTAGAGGGGGGAGAACATGAGAAAGTACATCTGAGACAGTGTTGAAAAGACAGATCAGGGAACTGTTAGTACTTTTAATGTCAGGGACTCAAAAACTAAAAACCATTAGGCTTAGGAAAATATCACACCAGTGGGAAAATATTACACCAGGAATCCCAAACTCAGAAGATCCTGTGTTTTTTCAACATGTATGTCTTGGAGTATGAATGGATTTTGGTGGGTGTTGTTGGAGCAGTAGTTTTTGTTTTGCTGGTTACTACAGTGAACAACTTAATAAAGTCAGGACAGAAAGTCACGTCCTATTAGAAACAAATGGAGGACAAAAAAAAAAAGAGAGAAAATCACATCCATAATGAAATTTTAATGGTGGGACTAGTCAGGGTATCACCAAAGTGAGTCGAATTTATCCTGAGAGGGGCTTAAATGTGTGTAGAACATTTTATGGCAATACAACGGTTGTGACTCAAAAACTCAAATGTCAACTCATGGTGGCGCTAAAAGCAAAAGTCAGAGGATCCCCAAGTCAGGATTCATCATATGGAAACCACGATTGTGTGTACAAAATGTCCATCCATTTTTTGCACACGATAACACAAAACACATTCCTGAGAGACCAGATAAAAACAGTACCTGTCCAAACATGGTGCACGGTGTTTGATGTAAACACAGCCATTAACCTGACAGCCCTTAGCCTGCTTTTACACATAATCCATCTACTGTTTTTAGTCCTGGCGAAGGTTTTAACCGTATCACTGATTTAACTAAAAAAAACCACCCTGATTTATTCAAATGCACATTGGTTTGAGACCTCGGTGTGTGCAGCTGTACTCACTGTTGGCTGTATTTGTAGGTTGATGGCAGTGAGCTGGACAGGCTGAGCTTTGGCATGGTTGAGGGAGGAGTGGAGGGCGTGGGGGCTGATGGTAGAATGGAAGATGGTGGCCTGCTGGCTGGGCGTGGAGGGTTGGTTTGGAGCAGGTTTGGGCAGTACAGGGACAGGGTGCTGTGACGGCTGAATGGAGGCCGTCTGCAGCAGCTGGCCCGCGGCCCTCTGGGAACCTTGACTCTGATGGACCACAAACTGCTGCTGCTGCTGCTTGTGCTGCTGAACCAGGGAGTGGGGTTGAATCTGTGTGTATGCTGGAATGAGAACAACAACATTTATTTTTAAAATGTATAAATTCACCCACAGACTCTTGTGTTGTGTCCCAAGTTCACTAGCCACTGAATACTAAAGACTGTAGTGTCTCTGCTGTGACCACAGACCGAGAAAACACTAAGTACATTCATAGAACAGCCATTAATGCTTTTATTCTTACAATAAAAAAGGTGATTTTACTTAAATTGGCATTAGAGATTAGATTGAAAGATATGGGTCACTGTACTTTGACAATTTTTAATTGAATTGTGCTGGAACTAAGTCAATTATTACATTAATCAATGACGCAAGAAAATCAATCTGCAGCAATTGTTCGTTCCATCCATTATCTATATGGTTGGAGCCTATCCCAGTCCCCAGTTTATCACAGGGCTGACACATAGAGACAAACAACCATTCACACTCACACCAACGGGCCAGACAGACAGACAGACAGACAGACAGACAAAAGGTCCCAGAACCTTCTTGGTGTGAGGCGACGCTACCTGCATTAATTGTTAAATCAAGTCCAAATAAAAAACATTCTCTGGTGCCGGCCTCTAAAATGTGAGTATACTGCGTTTCTTTGTTTTTAGAACATTTAACATATTTGGCTTTTAGGCTTTTGACTGGACAAAATAAGCTGTTTTACAACATCACTGATGAATCTAAAAGAAGAGTAATAATGGCAGGCCTAGTGTCCAACAAAGATTACACAATGCACATTGCAATCCGCAATCTTACCAAACATTATTGTCTTTTAGAACATAATTTAGAAATATTTTGCAATTGTTACAAACCACAAGCAGTTGACGAGCACTGAGAAATGTAGACGTCTGCACAAACGAGCTTGTTTTACAGCATTCCCTTCACCTGTGCGCCCCTTGTTGACAGGATGTAATATTAAGGGGCTCGTTGAAAGATGCACAGAAAGGCCCACTGTTGCAGTTTGTCTGACCATTACTCACAAATCGTTTCAAAATGGCCTGTCACCACCTGTCAGTGCTGTTGTGGGTAAAAAGACATCCTGGGCTCATAACTCGCCCCAAAGCCCAAGACACAGCACATCAATCTTGCATTGTGAGATCATGTGTGAGTGGGAGAGTGTTCAGCGGAAGTAGCCCGAGGCTAATCTAATATTAGAGATGCCTCAGGAGCAACGAACTGCAGCGCTAACTGCCAACTCTCCATGACACTCTTTACAGAGTTAATGTTGAGTCAGCAGGTCCGAACCCCTCAGCTGCCTCTTTGATCTCCAACAACTCTACCAGGAAACAATAAGGAATAATTGACTCACTTATTACTTAAACCCAGATAAGGAATGAGTTACTCCTGCATCACAGTCGTGTACAGTAGCTTCTGCTGGATGAGCTGTGTGAACATGGATGTTCCCCCCCCCACCACCACCAATAACTCCAAGCATGGAAAACTGCCAAGTACATCAGCATTTGTCTCAAATCCCCCTTGCCCCCAGCCTCCTCCTCCCCTCTGTTCTTTTCATGATGTTTTGTGTGGGATAGGCTCCATCTGGTTTCAAAGTTTCCCTGTGAGGCACTAACCGCAGTCTGTACCCTGCTGTGGAATATATAGATGTTTCTATCCAGCAGAGTTTGCATGTCATTAGTCCCTTTAATGCTACAGGATCTGCTGAAAAGTGTTTTCTTTTTCACATGGTAAGACACAGTGGAACCCACAAACCCATCAGAAGATTTGGTTAGCTGTGGCACACTGAAGGCAGTCATTTAATATTTGCAATGTTCAGGGTGGATGTGAGCCTGGGATGGGTGGATACAGCTAGCAGCGTGATAATCAAAGATGTTAGCCTGTTAAGATGATTCATGCCTGAGAATCAATTCAAAACGTCACTTCAAGGGATAATAACATCGATCAGTTCAGCAACTACGCTTATGGGTGTGAAAACAATCGATTGTTAGGTCAGACATGATTTTCTCTTGAAAAATTCCGTCAACGCAAACTGTTCCTTACATATATCTTTTACATAGCAGAGTATGTATGGCAGGGTTTATTGTTGGCCGGCGTATGCAGTCTTTCTGTCTGTGTCACGTGTAGTTGTCGAGCAGATGAAAACGGTCAAAATGTCCAGCGGTGCCAAAGGGTTGAATGGTCTCAACTTCTATTCAATGAAGTCATGCTACAAATAAACAGACATTTAACTATAAAAAGGAAGGAATCTCTCATGTAATTCACATTAAAACCACAATATACCCTCACTGCAGCAATACCCTACACACTACAATTAATAAATGGAAATTCACCTGACCTTTTATCAATCTCACTGAATCATAAGGGAGCGAGAGATTTCCTCAGTCCGAGCGAAGGAGGGGGATTTCTAAATCAGTGCACACCGGATACAACCATCCCTCCCCATGAATCCTGACAACTTTCTCAAGCCCCTAATGAGGAACAGAGACAGGTCTTGGAAGAAAAGGAAGACAAGGGAATTCATTTAAATGCTATTCCCCCTCAAGGTCTTGGGATTAAGGACTGCAATGACTCAGGCTCACGCCCACACATGCACACACATTCAACTCCACCACTCGGCCTAAATTATGAATGTCTCTTATGCTATCTGTGTGTTGTTGCACAATGTCCTGAGGTTGAAGACAGTATACATTGCTGATGAGTTTGTAGCACCAGCCCCTGGAAAATCCCTGAGTTTCCACATTCTCAGTGGCTGACGCTTTGGCTTGCTTTCATGAAACACATTCTGACCCAAAACAACAGAGCAACAGCGGGCCTCACGCCATCTTTTCTCACTTACAAACCAGGCTTTTCTCTTTATCAAGTAGGCATTAGCTTTAAGTGAACACTAGCTAAATTAATTCATTTACAGATCGGTTTACAGACTGTTGAGTCATGTTTGAGGTAAAACACAATGGCCGGCTTGCGAGGAGAAAACCAAATCACATATCTCTGTATTTTATTATCTGTATAATGCACAGTGAGGCTGTATATTCAGACCAACAAAAAGAGATGTGAAACACTGAATGTCTGTTTCAATAGACCAGACAGAGAAGTAGATTCATTATTAGTAGTCATTAAGTTTTGCATAAAGATGAAGTCTGGGTTTTCATTTTTAAACTGAGGTACTTTTCCAAGGTTCACTCATATTTAAGTGTAACTGGCAACTGATACTGTAGTTAGCAGCTACATGAATATGCCAAAACACAGACTTTGTGCAGATCTCCTCTTTTAATCTGTGAGCATGGTGCTTTTGGGGGTTCCCTGCGGTGTTTTTTATAGTAAGGTGCTGGCTGTTTCCTGCCAAGAGGAGGTGATGACAAACGCTTACTGCAACAAACCAGACGGTCTAACATTTGTTTCCAGCCCAATTCTTATTCAAGGGGAAACAACTTGTAATGTTCACAGTAACAGACACTGCTCTAAAGTCATCTGCCATCTTTGGAGAGTGAGATGAAAACTGATGACCAAAAATAGCAAACACAATTCATCACACAACTTCCATGTTTGTTGTTCTCTCAGATGAGGACAGTGACAGTTTAACACTAATAAAGTAAATGTGTTTCATTTGCGACACATTTTCAATAATTTCATAATAGTTACAAGTACAGTTCAGGTGATTATAAACTAATTAAAACATACCTATTAATATTATATTCCATTTCTGCCAATAGATCCTTCTAAATGTTGAACACTGAACCTTTAATAACACTAAAAATACTGACTAATTAGACGCAGGGTGTAATTATATCTACAGTCTACTCATTTAAGCCAAGGTTATGGAAAGGGTGTAAACTTACCACCCAACACTAACCACCAACAAAACCTCTGGTTTCCTGAAGCTAAATTCCTGGTTTGCCCCGTCTATTAGCCAGAACAGGACATTAAACATCAATCATGGAAGCAGTTGGTAAAATATTAGATTTACAAGAGACAGTGGCATGTCAGTACAAAAGGTTTTCTCTGATTTTATATTTGAAAGCAAAAGTGCATAATGACCCAGTCACAGTCAAGTTGAATCCAGGCTTTTAACACAATGTGAATCCCATCAGCCAGCCATCCTTCTCCGGATCCACAGTGTATTAACTCCCCAGCATCTCATGTGCACACCTGTCCCTCATGGCCTGCTGCTATGGCAACCCATGTTAATTTTTTCAAACAGCACGCAGCCAGATTTTCAGCTTCCATCCTCCCTTTCATTTTATGTGAATCCATTACTGCAACAAAGCAAGACACAGTTGTGCACTGACACGCTCAGATAATCCCTACTCCCCCCCTCCCTTTCCCAGACACACACACACACACACGTCTGATAAAAACAACACCATGCATTCAGACAGTGTACTGCAGTGTAGGTAAGGTTTACAGTCATGTACACACATGAAGACACAGTTGCTGTTACCACTCCAAGCGCATATACACACATATCGTACATCTATACACATATTTTTAGGTTCATGCTTAAAAAAAACCTATTTTGGTAAATGAAATGTTTTATTAGGATCTTCTTGAAAATTAAGTAATACATCTAAAAGGGGCTTATTCTACAAATACACTGGACTTAATTTGATTTAATCAGCTTGTACTGCTGGCATATTCACAACCACACACAAAAAAAAACAGCTGCTGACCTTCAATTACACAATAAATGGTTTAGAAAAGACTCTCGCGTGGCAGTGGGCCTTTCACAGTTTCTAATTCACAAAGCAGCTCGACTGTTCCAGACACAACCCAACACACTGTCTTTAATACGGCTGGTTTCACCCCTTTAGTGAGTGAATGGGTTTGTGATGCGGGCCCTGACATGTCACTCTCACAGCCCGGAGAAAGCTATTAAAAGCGCAGTAAGTGTAAAAACTCTTTTCCACATCTACTCTTGCAGTAAAGATGAGAGCATGTTTCTACTGTATGTATGACAGCTGCCTGAAGCCCCAAGCCTATTTTAAGGTTTGAACTGGACATCTGCTTCAAAAAAAAGAAACAAAACAGCATTCAGCAGCTGGCAGGCGATTTGGAAGTTCAATTTATCTGCCCACAAAAATGAAAACAAACTTATTGTGGAATATTGAGTGACAGTGTCTATACATAAATAACACAAAGCCTCTAAAAAGCTGATTGTTTACATTTAACATCCATCCTACTTGTTCTGTAAGCAGTGTGGACTCCAGACGTACACAGTAGGGATATTACTGGAAACAAATATTTTCCTCTGCCTCTACAAGATGCCAACGCCTCTGGTTCTCATGCAGACAGTTTTAGGTCACTAAAATGTTTGAATCACAACTGTATCAAACAAAGACTTCATCTCCTCAATTCACACATGGCCATTGTTCCTTTGTGTAATGAGCATGCACCTGAAACAAAAACAGAGTACTAGCTGTCAAATTAATATAAATAAACAATTAACTAATATTGTGTTTTTAAAAGGTCAAGTGTGAAGGATTAAGTAGCATTTCGCGGTGTAGCTGCAGATCGCACCTCTCTATTGCTTCACCCTCACCTTCCAAGCTTGAAGGAGGTGGCCACAAACATGCAAAACATGCCCCTATCTACAGCTAGTGTTTGGTTTGTCCTTTCTGGGCTACAGTAGAAACACAGCAGTTCAACATGGCAGACTCCATGGAGGGTGACCCACGGCATCTGTAGTGACTGTAGAGATCCATAACTATGTTTAATTAATGTATAATCACCTGAAAGTATTATATTGCATTTCTGCCAATAGATCATCTGAAATGTTACCTACTGGACGTTTAAGTTACTACCGCCAAAGAAACATATGCTCACAACACATTAAGTTAAGTTATCCTTTAATTAAACCCCGTAGGGACATTCATTCTCTGCATGTGACCCATCCTAGGTACCAGGAGCAGTAGGCAGCCACTGTGCAGCACCTGGGGACCGACTCCAGATCTGTGCCAGTGCACAGACTGGTGAATCAACCTGTGCCCATGTTTTGCTGGTGGGAGAAACCGGAGTTCCCGGAGCAAACTCCAGACTCCATACAGAAAGTCCCTGCCCCAGCCGGGATTTGAACCCGGGGCCTTCTTGCTGTGACGCAATGGTGATGCTTGTTTGAGTGTTTAGAATAGTTTTTTGCACTCTCTAGTGTCTCTAAATGAAGGTCGCATTAACATAGTTAATGACTCATTGATTCCCACTGATACCCATATTGCTAATTGTCATTATTTTCACTACATAGACCGAACACAAAATGCCTTTGTGAGTTTATTTTTGTGGGGGTCTGGACCCTTAGGGTGACTGGCCCTGATGCCCTGAAGCACTGTCAAGATTAGTTTTATGGATAAGAGGCCTGCTCACATCAGCATTATTTGAACTGTTCAGGCTGTGGGGTTGCAGACTTCACTTACCTGGCGCGATCAGAGGCTGAGCACTGACAGCTGTGACACTGCGACTCATGTTTATAGCTCGGACTTCTGTGACTGCTGCGCTGTCCCCCTTCTTCCCTGCTTCAGACAAACTGTCGGAGGAGCTGGCTTTCCCTCCTGTGGAGGCCTGCATTACTTGGCTGGGATTCTTGATCATTGAAGCCGGCTGAATGGGCACAGGGCTCTGCTTCAGACTGAGTGCCTGCAGGGTCTGAGTCTGAGAGGAGGACGTGGTCGCCACCTGCTGGCCACGGATGGCCAGATTCTGGACCTGATTCTTAGAGAGACAGAATAAAAAGGGGCATTACTGACAACAACAGAATCACAAAGTTTTAAAAAAATTATAATAATAAAGATGTACTTTTCAATTAACCATATTAAGATTATACTGTTAATACCAGAACAGTACAGTTATTGCCATTTTACAACCTCAAGTGCAGGATTCCCAGTCACTGCAACAACTTTGTCTAAGCTTCCAAGTGTGATGCTCATCTCTGAATTTAAATATCTATTTACCAGAGGGATTAACAATTTATAAAAATACACTTCCAATGCACCTACCTGTGAGGAAGCCTGCGTAGAGTTCTCTGACTGGACAGCTGTCACTGTGGCTGTTGGAGTAAAGATGAGTTGTGGGGACAGAGGAACAGCCCGGCCAAGGCTCCTGGCCACCTGCACCAGGTTACTCTGCTGGGCCTGAAAAGCAGCACACACACAATGTCAGCCAGAAAATGATTCTTGGATCGGATTATCCTCATAATGATAGTACAAAAACATATAGAAAAATACTTAAGATCAAGCAGGAGGATTATTTGAATTATTCCAGGTTAAAGAGGGCCCTGTTCATGTGTTTTGGACAGAATGTACAACACATTTTTATCCTCTTCTTTCCATAAAAACAACACAATAACCGATATTCATATTTTTAAGTGTATGTGTGGAAAAACAAACAAGTAAATATATGTAGGGCTTAATACAATGGATATGCGTTAATTTAACACCAGCGGACCATTCCATAAATAAAGGCCATGGCAATCGGACAAATATGTTTTGCGGGCTGCCAGAAGCATCACACAAATCTGACAATGCTTTGTACTTGCTCATAATGAGGTGGCAGGAACAGTCTGTGTGCCAGCTGCAATACTGACGGCAAATTGAAACCGACAAGTAACCCACAACCAGCTGCACCAAAATAGGTCAATAAAGACACATATCCTTCAGCAGCTCGGTGTTAAAACAACTGAACCTTAGTCTACAGCCGTGAGAATACCTGTGACCCTTCAGAAAATGTTGTCAAGACATTCCCTTCTGTGTTTGTAATGAGCCCTCTGGGGCCGGACAGATTATTCTGACCACCTCCTCTGGTGGCAGGATCAGAATAAAGCACAGCATTTACTATGGCAGAGTGAGCATGCACACATAACACACGCGCCAATTCCAAAAACACATTTATCCACCACAGGGAAAAATATGAGCTGGAATGTGCTTATTTATTCAAGCATGTGTGTTGTATTTATGCTGTTATGCACACTCATGTAAATGTGCCAGTGGCGATGCTCCTTGTGTCTGCAGTCTCACCATCTGTGCACGTAGGTACATCTGTGCCTGGCTGGCCGTGAGAGTGGGGCTAGATGGGCTGCCCAGCAGAACAGCCTGCTGGGATATACTGGTGGGGGTGGAACTAATGCTCTGGGCCCGGCTGATCAGCTGAGCTGCCGCTGGGGAGGTGGTCAGGTTGATCTACAAGAAGGAGAGAAACAGGATAATTAGGTTATACACTTCCTTTACTTTACTGATATATACGTAAATACACCAGTTTCCTTTAAACGACATATAAAGATACGAAACTTAGAACATGTTTACTGCGCAATGTCACCAAAAGGCATTTCAATGTCTTCAATCTTTTCAAAAGCAAAAGAGAAGTAGCACAACTCACAGAGCTGCTAGTGCAGTGCCCAGTTTGCTCAAAGTATCTTGGTGCTAAAATCAACTTAGTTCCACGATAATCTAATGGACAAAGATAACTTAAACTTTAGAGGCTCTTAGGAGAGAGGCCAAACACTCCAAACTGCACTTACCGTAGCCTGAGTAGATCCTGTTTGCTGGGATGAAGTGCCATTCTGTGAAGAGCTTTGCCGGCCAGCTGCGATACTGGCCTATCACGAGGCAAGAGAGAAGGAGAGAGAGAGAGAGGAAGAGAGAGACAAATGTACCATTTCCTGAAACATGTCTTGCAACAATAACAGAATCATCTTTAAACAGTGAGAATGATGATTTCATATGATGACCGTTTGCTGACCTGTTGTACAGCAGCCAGGCTCTGGAGCTGAGCAGTGCTGAGGTTGTGCTGCTGCTGGAGGGCTGCGGTTTGCAGCATCAGATGCTGCTGCTGAGCAGCGTACATCTGCTGCAGGTACTGTGCTGCTGTGTTAGGCTGTCTGTGTAACGCCTGCTGGAACACCTGCATGCAGACAGAAAGAAAGAAAGGGACAGATCTGGCTCAATGATGCACGACGCACAAAAGAAGAGTTTGCATATATTAAATTAATCAGGGTGTGCAAATGAACAGAAAATCAGAAAACCTGAATGAACCGAAGAGTCAAAAGCTCGGCTTCATCAATACGCAAACACAGAACTGATCAAAATCCTGCATGAAATATCAATACAGCTGTCGAAAACCAAGAGCTGTGTGTGCACTGGTCCGTGTGACCCAACCCTCTCCTATGTTCTCCAACTGCCTCGAGCCAAGCACCGCACTCCCACACAAAAAGAAGTGTCAGACTGTGTGTACAACACTGCCTGTAATCTTTGCACTGTATTTGGAGTCTTTAAAACGTCACAATGCATGTCTCTAACACCTCAAACCTCACTGCTCATAGAAGGTGAAATGTGCGTTCACAGTAGAGTTGCAGAGAGGAGCCTCCACACAGCGTCCAATTCAGAAGGATGGCGCTGGCAGGAACGGAGATGAACAATACCGAGTCGGCAGAATTTTAGAGACATCCTCCCGTGTGTACTATTGTTGATGTGGCAGAGGACATAATCAAATGGAATATTTCTGATTTATTTGAAATGGAAATTAATTCAATTTATCATTTTCAATGTATTTTATCATTATTCAATTTAATTGTATAAAAAAGTAACAATATTAAATCCTAATCTTGTTTGAATCGAATGGGCTCTGAATGTCTGAATGCATAATTTCTGTATTAGATCATGGACTGTGGATCTAAATAGGCACCTGATAACTAGAGGTGTGTATCTCTCCCTAAGTGTTTCAAAATGTCTAAAAACGTGTGATCATTGCAAGCAGACACATGAATAATAATGATTCCATGACCTAATTATAACACAACTAAACCTCCAAGCCATTGGAAATAACTCTCCTCACCCTTCACCTCTGATAATGCCCCCTCCTCTTGTTGCCAGGTAACCAGAGAGGATGTTGACCTGTGGTGCACAGTGTCACAGGACTATCCGGATCCACACCACCACAAATGAGGGTTCAGTTAGCAGAGATGCACTGGATTCAACTCTCACTGACCACAAATGACCAGCGGTCCTTCAGTTCCTCAGAGAGCTTCCTCATGACAATAGTGTTTGCCTTTTAATTGTCAGCGGGTTGAGTTCAAGACAAGAAGGGCTGAATATAACAAAAACCCTGCTGTCAAAGCATCAGCACTAAATGGTGCGAGGACCTTATTGAGGGAGAGGTTAAGCCTGTGTGGAGACTTATCCCTGGGTCAAAGGTCAAGAGCACTAAAGCACAGAAAGCATTCCTTCCTTCAACTTGGACACTTGGATCATTCAAATGAGCATTTATTTAAGTTTCCTTCTTCGGTAAGGTTGATAAAGAAGACAAATTCATTCAAATATAATTTAGGAGCATATCAGAAGCGCGTATGTGGTTTTATTTAGACCAACAGAGGGCAGTAGAGCAAAGGAAAGTCTGCCAACTTGACTGTGCGTGTAGTCTGAGTGTCTGTACTTGTCAAAAATGTCCTCACAACACCAACGAACTCACCTGCACTGTTTGTCGGTCAGGAATCCCACTGTAAACGGATATCTGAGGCACTGCCTGTCTTCCTGTTGTAGTGCTGCTAGTGGTACTGCTAGTGTTACTACTACCACCGCTGCTACTACTATTACTACTGCTAGTGGAAGTGGTAGAAGCAGTAGTAGTAGTGTTAGAGGTACTACTACTGCCGGCAGCTGTGTTGGAGGAGGCGGTGGTCATGGAGGAGGTGGAGGTGGAGCCGGTGCTGTTGGCCGTGGAGGCAGGGGCCCCTGGCTCACTCTCCATGGTGCCCTCTGCTCTTCTCACCTTTGACCCCCGGCTCTTCTGAATGGCTCTCCTGTGCCTGAAGAGGGAAAAATGAGAGCACGTGAGAAAAACTATTTCCCTTTTGTACACTGAAACCCAGGAGAACTGTTTTTTTCCACATTTTTTCAGATTAAAAACAATACGATGGATATGCAAACTGTAGTAAACCTGTATAACGAGCAGCTTCAAGAAAACTTAGAAGAAAATGTGAGAACAGCAACACACGTAAAACGCGAAGCAGGAAATTCATTTGATCTAATAAAGAAATCATACGTGAAAATGAGTGTGGGCATATCGGAAATAAAACATTTGTAAGGTCGCATCAAACGATTAATTTGCAGGTTACATTCTCATTTAATGGATTCAACTTTTTGTCTATAAAATGTCACAAAATACTGAAAACCAACAAAAACACAATGATATTCAGTTCACTGTTGTGTATGACACATAAAAGCATAAAATCATACATCTGAGTGTTTAAAATAACTAATCAATTATCAGAGTAGCCAAAATAAAACTAATGGATTAATTGTTGCTAAACAATCATTGAATCTAATTCTGCCCCGTACACTTTAGTCTGCCAAACATTTCTGTATGTTCAAGCTTTCACCCAAAATTCATTCAAATTTATAATATTTTAGCAGCAGAATCTTATATTTTTAGCAGAACAGCTAATTACTAGAGTCCAACCAATATTATCGATCGATATTGATCCATAATAGACAGTATCCGTATCGTGTTGTCCGGCAGGTGCCAGTACGGAAGCTGTTTTTCCTCGTATATAAGTGTATAAGTGCATTAGTCATTTACTGAAATACTGTGGCAACAGAGTAAGAGAGAAGAAGCAGCCCTCAGCGATGTCAACTAGTACTGTTTGACAATGTATTTGTTAAATTATTCAACATGTTAACTTCAATGTTCTTTGATAAAACATTTGTTTAAGAAAGCAGCCTTCTGAGAACCTTTGCAGTCACATAAAGAAGGTCTATGTTCATTCCAGCACAAAAAACAATCAGCCCACATCTCAGAAATCTGTGAATCATTATCATGTATTAAATATATAGCATTTGGGAATATCGATAAATACATATCTACATCTACAACAAAACCAATTCAGTTTTAGAGCTCAAACGATTAATTATAATTTTAGCATTGTAGTTTCTCCTTCGAGCATGAGAGGAGAGGCTGAAGCGTGTTTTTATTAGTTATTTAATTCTTGTATTTGTGGGTATTTATTTATATATTATGCCTCACTAAAAACCACACTGCAGTTCGACACTACAATTACCTAAAATGACACAAATTTAACCCTAAAATGTGCATCAGAGTACTGACCAAGTTAAGTTCCCAGAGGAAGATCTACAATCTGACAGATGGTCGATGACTCAGTGCTGTAAATACATGAAATGAAAGTTCTGCATTACACGAATCTTCAGTAGGACACGAGAGTCGGCTGGGAAATCACTGATTTCTTTAAACAGAAATATCCAATCTAAATTCACGAGCTTGTCCAAATAAAGTCCCCCTGCACGCTTCTCATATTACAGACAGAAACTCTCTGAAACACTACACAATTCATTCATTCTCCAAAAACAAAAACGGATGGCACGGCAGAACAAAGCTGGTCAGAGAAGCACACGCAAATGCTATTAGGGAATCTAATGAAATTTAGCATAAAAGGCACAGTGGCTGGCCTAAATTATATCCTACACACTGGAGACTTTCACATAAACAAGAACACACACACATTTGGTGAAAGTTAATGGGAAGGCAGCAGAGGTTGCTTTAACTATGACTAAAAGTACAAGTATTGGCCTCGTTGCTGCTCGAACTCTCTCGTGGAGTCCGATATCCTTCCTAATAACACGTCAAAACCATGTTCATATGTCATACAGTATCTCAGACTTATTAATCAATGGTTTTCTTGTCAGTCACGAGCTCGGAGAAGGGAAGAACGTATGACTTAGGCCCTTTCCATAAAAGCCTTTTTAAGGTTGGTCCCCTGGTGCGCCGCTGTCCATTAGCACAGGAGGAAAAGGTTCACAGCTCTGCGGGCAGATGAGATGGAGGGGGCCTCAGCAGGACAAGTGAGTAGATGAGAAGAGGATGGGAGGAGGATGGGAGGAGGA